CACATGCACTCTCACACACACACTCATGCACACATGCACACACACATACTTACACATACACATGCATGTATGCACTCACAAACTTGCAAACACACACACACATGCACTTACACACATGCACACTCAAACATATGCACACACATACCTTCATGCACACACTCCTCTCACACACAAACTTGTTAATACAATCACACACTCTCACACTCACACTATTCACATTCTCACATAACACAAAAAAATCACACACTAACACACTCACATACTAATACACATGCTCACACTCATGCACACTTGCTCACACACATATACTCACATATGCTCATGCACCCACACTCACACACAATCACATCCACCTACACAACTTTCACACACACACTATTGCCATCACACACAAACACTAACACACTTTCACACTAGTACATACGCTCTCACACACATGGACCATCACACACTTACAAATATACACACTTAGATATATGCACGCTCAGCCACACTCACACACTTGTATTCTCACACTAGTACGCACACTGTTCACAGTCATGCACACGACCACACATACGACACACGCTCACACACTCGTTCACATGCTGATACATACACTTGCTCATACACAACTCAACAAAATCACACCAGCACTCACACACATCCCACTCCCACACCATCTCACACTAACACACGTGCACTCACACACACCTTGCTCGTCCTGCAGGCTCCTTCTGAGACCTCCGTGTCTGGGCCCAGGAGGGGCGCTCGGCACCAGTGCGTCTCGTGCACACAGAGGCCAAGACAGGACCGTCCCGGGGCCAGCTGTGCCGCCCGGCCCTGCCCTAGGAAGTGAGGATCTCAGTTCCTCTCTGGCCCCTTGGAGAAGTCAGCCAAGGAGGAAGTGAAGCCCAGGGCAGGAAGCAGCCAGGAACCTGGCACCCACCAGCCCCAGTGCCGGAGCCCTCAGGTGCCCACACCCAGCCGAGGGGCAGCCCTACAGGACCCCACAGGATATTTTGTGGGGGCCCAAGTGGGTTCCCTGATGCCAACCTCAGCCACAAGAAGCCTGCCTCCTCACACGACCCGCCAGCCCCTCCTGGGCCCCCACCTGCATCGCTGCTGCTGCGTCACCCCGAGCACTTACCACCGCACGCCTGCTGGGCCTGTGCGCCCTTCTGCTGCTTGCTCCCTGCTCTGGAATCTCGGTCCTTCCCTTGGCCTCTTGGTGAACTCCTATGCATCCTTCAAAACCCTAACCACGGAAGCTTTGCTGATTGTCTCAGGAAGACCTTACCTCTCGCTCCACCCTCCCACGTCTCTAAGTCACCATGTCTGCAGCCACCCTTGCCCTCTGGAGGCCCCTTTCACCAGCTGCTCTCACCCTCTCAATGAGCAGCAGACATCCTTCCTATTTGATCTCCTTTTCTCCAAGGCCAAGCACAGGGCCTGCCTATGGGAGGGCTCCACCTGCAGACCCCACGGCCCCAGGTCCTCAGAGCAGTGCTGGCTGCGCCCAGTGCTCCCCAGGGCCTGAAGCAGCTCTGTGGCTGTCTTCACCCGCGCTGGCCACAGCCCGGGGCTGATGTCTTAACGGTAGGAAGGGAGAGCAGAGGCAGAGCGCCGGCCAGGCCCTGGACTTCACACACAGGCTCAGGTGGGTGTGCTCCAGGGCCAGGCGGCCTCCGGAGGCTCTAGGGAGGGTTCTGCCTCCGCCCAGCGTCAGGTGGCTCCAAGGAAAGCATGTCACAGAGCAGGTGACATTCAAGGTCTGTGGCAGGTGAGTGGAGGAGCTGGGATCCCTCCCAGACCCAGGAGGTCTGGCACCCATGAGTGTCCCCAGTGCCCTCTCCAGGACGGGGTAGTGTCATTTCCTCAAAGGCCTCTGAGTGGGTCAGCTTTGCATCCATTATGACAAAATGTCTGAGAAAGTCTCCTCTAAGGAGGGAAGACTTATTTTGGCTCCCGGCTTCAGAGGTTTCAGTCCTCAGTTGGTTGGCTCCATTGTTTTGGGTCTGTGACGGGGCAGAACACTGCGGTGGGGACCCGTGTGGAGGGAGGCTGCTCACACATGCAGCCAGGAAGCAGAGGGAGAGAGGGCGGGGCCAGGGTCCCGCCTCTGTCCAAGGGCACGCCCCCAGTGACCTCACTTCCTCCCCTAGGCCCTGCCTCCTGAAGGCTCAGCCCCGCCCATGCTGCAAGCCCACAGCCAAGCCTTTGGCCCGTGGCCTCTGAGGACCCTTTAAGGTCCAAACCACAGCAGCATCTTCCTGCCCCTGGCCATGAGCCAGCTGCCCATTTCCAGGGCCTTGGGAGACGTGCTGTCCGTGGGCCCGAGGTCAGTTAGGCGACACTTCTCTCATTCCCTAATTCCTTCCCACCATCACTACTCCCCTCCCTATCTTCAAACAACCGGCAGGTGACTCCCAGGGCACTGTGCTCCTAAGCAAGGGACACAGGTCTCTGTGCCTGACATCCCAGCGCGGGACCTCCCTCCACAACACACAGTTCACAGGGTGGAAGGAGGGAAGGGGCCAGAGATGCCACTTGGCAACCAGCACTCTGGCCAGTGAATGTTCAGTAAGGAGCGGGAAAACCACCCGGTCACGACGTGTCCCCGACGTGTCCCCGACGTGTCCCCCATAGGACACTCGTAAATTACAGAGACATCAGGACGTCAGCACAGGGAACCTGGACTCCCACTGCCTTAACCTGTGGCCAGAGTTTCAGCACACACTGGTGTGAGGTCCCTCCTGAGGACATTCTAAGGAGGACACAACACTGCATTGTAGACCCTATTTGTGTCCCCCAAATTCATAAATTGAAGCCCTAATCCCCTCCCGCAGAATGCGACTCTCTTTGGGGAAAGGGCCTTTAAAGAGTTCATTCAAGAGGCCACAAGGGTGACTGGTGTCCTTAAAGGAGAAGTCTGGATGCACCAGGAGCCACAGCATGTGCACAAGCAGAGAGACCACGTGAGGGCACAACCAGAGAATCAGGCCTCAGAGATACCAGGCCTTCCGATGCCTTGAC